AGTGTGGAATGAAACACTTTTTCATCCCAACGTTTGACGAACAAAAAGTTATACAAACCAGTTATTTTCTAGCATAACCGGGCCTTTACACAAGTCAAACACGTAGCCTTTTATCCAATCATTCAAGATAATCCCAACAAGCTTAATCTATTATTTACCTTATCTTTTTTCCCCTTTTCCACAAGTCCACTTCACTCACAAACCAAGTTCATTATCTCACCAAGATGCATCTACACCAGGGGTGGGCAAACGTTTTGGCTCGGGGGCCACATTGAGTTTTAAAATTTGACAGTAGCAGATGAATGGAGTGTTTGTGTGAACTAATATAAATTACAAGTAAAATTTAATTTCAGTGGGAACAGTGTTGTTGGTCACCCTTTTTAACCAGTGCGTCAACGTTTGGTGTCAGTTTGGTTGTGGCAATTCTCAGAACAGATCTGAGGTGTTCATCAGTTAGCTGGGATCTTTCATGGTTCGTGCACTTTATTATATTAAGCAGTCATTTTTGACACAGTGTTTTCAGTGTAAAGATTAATGACTGTGGTCTTTTTAGCAGTTTGATTCTTTGACCAGATCATACAAATATTTGACTGTCACATCTAACATTAACCGAGCTCTGCTCTGTAATGTCTTTCCTTGTCTCTCCCCCCTGTGTCACGGCGTGGGTACATCTCACTGGCGTCAGGAAACGTATCAGAATACCTTTATTTTATTGGCTAAAATGCATCACGTGACGTGATTTACAACGCATTGGTTGGTATTTTTCCTGCACCGCTGAACAAGTGCCGTAAATGCTGAATAACTCCGCTGCATAAAGCAAAGTCCCGCGACCCACTGAAAACGGGTCCGCGACGAACCACCAGTTGAGAATCACTGGTCTGCAGGATCGTGACGAGCGGTGAACAGCTGTTTGTGTGGCGTGTCTTCCGTCTCTTCCTGTTTCCTTCACCCACATTCCCCTGGGCCCGGTACAGCTTCTTATCACCTCTTTGCACCAATATACATTTATAACAAATACCACACACATTACACGGTAATCAGCATTGCATATGTGTCAAACTCTATCGGTGCATCTCCGGTCTGTCTTTGTTCATCCTGCATCGCTCTGTTCTGTTCTTTAATGTAACGTAACTGGAGCGACAGATTGTTGTGCTAGCGAGCTGTACCCAGCATGCAGTTCGGCGGTGGAATTTTATAAATGTACAATTATTAGTGTTACAAACTGTTGTGTGCTGTGGTGTTTTTCTCTGTTAAAGAGCGTTAGTTGTGGGTTGTTAATTGTTGTGTTATAAAGTTATGACCATGACTAGGGTTCCCTCTCAATACATATAAGACAACTAGCGCTGACCGCAGAGCAATAGCGGCAAAGAATACATTTAGCTGCCTGTTGAAAGCAGACAGCAGTTGTTTCGGCTATGCACCGGTATGATGGTGTGTGAAGAATTCATATCATACGGGGAAAAAAAAAACCCGGTATACTGCCCAGCCCTAGTCTTTATTATAGTTTTGACAATTTTGTACCAATATTTGACGGGCCGGATTAAAACGCCCAACGGGCCGTAGTTGCCCATGCCTGATCTACACCATCACTATTAAATCAAAGACTGTTTGACCGAAGGCTTAATGTCTTGCTGGTCATATGGACACATAAGTGTTGAGAGCATACTGATACGGAGCGTTGTGGCAAAGATAATGCAGCGAGGGGGAGAAACCGTGAAACCAAAGTTATTATCTCACAGGCCCAGGTCGATGTCTGGCCCCGCTCCCATCCGCTGGCTCTCAGCCCTGAGTCGTTTGCAGAAAGGCTGATCGACTCCAAACTGAGTGTGGAGATGGCTGGAGCTGCTGCACATTCATCTGTCAGTAACAGGTGTGGTGGACGTTTAGAGGGAACGAGGGTTGGTAGGAGACGAAATTCAATTACATCAGTTAACTAGTATTCAGCACATAAATCAGTCTCAGTGAGGGCAGTGAATAACTGAGTCACTTCCTCCGGCTGAATTACTATCAGTTTGCTGAAGGTGCTGACTGGAGCAGAAGCAGCAGACGATGAAGCTGCACACACACACACCTGTTTGCTAAACATACATACAGTTATAAACTGCAGATAATCCGAAATGCCCTTTTGAGGAATACTGAGGCCCTGAGGCTACACGGCACGCATCCTGATCCCCTGGAGCAGCATGACGCCCACAATTCGCTGTATTTAAATACACACCGTGAGGAAATGGGCCAGATCAAGGGAGCACAGTAGTTGATGAGCAAATTGTAAAAAGCCAAACCAAAAACGAATCATTTGTTTCTTGATTCACGGCCTCCTCAAAAACCTCTCATAATCAATAAACATGAATGTCCTCTAAACTATCAAACAAACAATCTGTGGCAAAAATCTGACCTCCTTGGTGGAATTAAAAAGAATGTTCAAAGATATTGTATTAAAGATTAGTGTTTGGCACGTTTTCACCTTTAGAGAGAAAGTAGAAATGGAGGGACTATGACATGCAACACAGGTCCCCAGGCTGGAATCAAACCCAGGCCGTTGTGGTGATATGGCATGTACTGTCAACAAATAAGAGAAGGTGGCAGCGAGAACGGCTCCAAATCTTGAACAATATCGGGTGCACAGAAGTGGCAAGGACAGAAGGAACAAAGTACCGGCACTCACAGGAAAAGGGTCTTTTATTTGTTTATTATAGGCAAAAAACGAACATGTTTCAGCTAGATGTGTTGACAATGTTCATAGCTTCTAGCGTTCGTTTTTTGCCCACAATAAACAAAAAAAGACCCTCTATCTGTGTTTCTTATGTACTGTAACCACTCGGATACCAAGGCTTTCTACCAAAGTGTAGTTGTGAGTAACCAATTGGAAAGCTATTCCAAAACATTGTTTTCTTTTTTTAAAGAGCAAGGCTCAGCTGTCGGTGGACATCACCTTCATGGGTTCTATGTCTACAGATTGATTGTGACAGAAACCTTTTCGGGTGCAGTGGTATCAGTGAATTTTAAAAATAGGACTGTGTTTCCCTTCTAATCTGCACAGACGTCAGAGTGACTGTGCAGGACTGGAGAGGACTCCTTCTTTCTGGGTGTGGGACAGACGAAGGGAGCTGACCTTCATCTCGACATGGTGATACAATTGGTCTGGCCATCTTGGGACCTAGAGGCTGATTGGCTGACCGATCTCAAATTTACTCAAGTGTAACTGCAGAGACAGTCAATCAGTGTTTTTGCACTGTCAGAGCAGCAATAAACCAGAGAAGGAAAGAGAAGAGTGTTGCAATCTCTCAACCTCATTCACTTTAGAGTCTCCTACATGTTTCATTACTGAGATTGCACTGCAAAGGGCAAGCTATCTGGAGGCAAAGGAAATGACAACACACACACACACACACACACACACACACACACACACATACACACACACTCAGAGATACAGAGAAAGGCAGAGCCATGAATGATTTCTGTTCATCGTGACCATGACACATGACCTGCCAGAAGCTGCTGGCTGCTGTATCTGACCGGGAGGCGAATGTGTCAAAGAAGATGCTTCATGCGCAACGAATGAACTCAGATTAATATTTTAACCATTTTCTCCTTTCATAGGACCATCAACAGTCTTAAAATGATCTAAAAGGTAATGTAAATAACAAATACTTACCAGTACTGATATTTTGCCAAAGAATACATCTAAAAAACATAAGTTAATACCAATAATTGTGTCCAATTTACCAGCGCAAATTGAAAAAAAAAAGTAAGTTAATTCCTACTTCAAAAAGGAATTAAACATTTTGGTGCGTCTGATACTAATGAATGCAAATGATGAGTTAGTGTTTTCTGTGGATAATTTCCTGTCAAGCTTGATGTAAAGTAGACAGGCGGTAGTTTTCCAGAGTATGAGCCTCACACAGCTGACACAGTTTCCCCAACGTCTGCTGCCATCGCTGATAATTACAATTTTACTTCATTGGGTGGTTTGAACACGTGGATTACAAAAAACAACTCTACGAAGTTTAGCAGTGATGAATACCCATGCTAAAAAACAATATTAATGATTAATTGATTATCAAAATAGCTTGCTGATTAACTAATCAACAATAAGACACGCAACTGCGTTTAGGCTGTATTGTAATTTACATTTTAGTCTTTAGTACGGTAGATTACAACATATTTAGCAAATTGAAAGAAGGCAAAACTCAACATTATAGGTGTTTGTGTGTCAGTTTGGAGAGGTACGTGTGCGTGTGTGTGTGCATCTGCAAACCAAAGCCCTGAAAATGGCCTTGCATTTGTACTCAGAGGTGGTCTGTGTTGGGGGCTGAAAAAAGCATAAAAATTGCAGCTGCACCCTCTGCAACCAGCTCAGCAGGGGTGAGTTCATTCAGAGCAGGAGATGACCAAACAGGCACAAATAAATTACATTACACCTGCATTTGTGCTGCAGCTGGCTTTTCGCTGAAAGGGAAACAGAGCCCTTTGCCAACATATTCTATTTCAACAACATACAGTATTAATCAGTTTCTTCAAGCTTTGTATGTGTGTGATTCCATCACTAATCAACAAATAGACACGACTCTCCTTTGATGCTTGTATCTTGTCTTTTCTATAATGCAGCAGCACTTATCAGCGGAGGCTCACTGCATTTTTTTATCTGCTTTCCGGTGCTTTGACCACATCTATTCGACCTCATTCAACCTCTCCGCTCTCCTGTGTCACAACAACTAATCCGACTTTCACTGGTGGTCTGTAAGACAATCTGATAAAGCAGCCAAAGGCCTCGGGGTCAGTTACGGGTCTGGCACAGATCCTCGGTGTACGTATGTTTGTTGTCACACACCAACCAGTGAGGCTGTGAATGGATGGACCCAGGTGTGTGTGTGTGTGTGTGTCCTCTTGCATGTATGTGCGTGGTGTGAGTGTCGCAGCTGCAAGCTGTAACTCGAGGTTCATCAGCAAACAAAGACCCAGGCAGGTGATGATAGTCGGCGGATGGATCCTCTTACCATGATGAGGCCGGTGGTGATCGGGTCGTTGCAGCCGTGGCACAGCTCCCCGAATTTGGCCCAGTAGTCTTTCTTGCAGAAGAGCCGTCCATCTTTTTCATAATACCAGTGGGACAGCGAAGCGCTGCACTCACAGCACCTGACAGAAGAAGAGACGGAAAGAGATACACGAGCAGTTGAGCAATTAATTAACATCTTTTTATGCCAAAAAAAAAGGTGAACATCATAAGGTCCCAGAACTCAGAGGGATGTATTGCAAAGCTGGAGCCAAAATATATTTAGCAAATTTGCTCGATAAATGACTAAACATTGAATTGACAATGAAAATCAACTGTCTGTGAAATAAGTAATTGATTAATCAATTATTATTGTATTTGTATATACAGTGTATTTCTACATTTGCAGAAAAAGCTGGAAACACATTGTCCGACATTATCAGTATGTCCCTGAATCAGCAGTTCAGACCTCCAGGTACTTTAAAATGTTATTGTGTTGACAGAACATGATGTTGTACTGCACTTCTAATGACACCATACAGGGCCTCAAATTATAGTTTTCACGGTGATAATAATCCCTTTGTGGATCTACCACACACCACCATGAGGTAGTACAGACAAATGAGAGATCACACCCAAACACTATGACCAACTATGACTGGACCAAAGAAAACATAGTAATGGCAACAAGCTTTTAGTGCCATGTATAAACATTTCATCAACCAACATCCTTCAGTATAAAATGTCAAACTTATATGAATCTATATATCCTTGATGTTTGTTTTGACCATGAACTGAATATAAGAAGTGGACGTACAGTCACCATGATATCACCCACAAGGTTGTGAACTGCCGCTTTGAAAGTTCTGCATTTTGGTCGTTGCCATCTTGTCTTTTTGCAACCACAAGTGACACGATGCTAAGTACACGCTGAATATGGGCTTGTTAGCTTATCTTGCTAGCTTCACTTTCAGGGTGGAAAACAAACTTAACAGCAGGATGTGTCCCACCAAATGTCAATTGTTATAGTAACGATAATGTTATATAACCACTGCGTCTTGTATCAACGTTTGCAGGATGTACAGGGTTATGACGTTTCTCCAGTCATTACCGTAAGTTACGACCAGGTTACGACGAAAGTTCACAGCGACCAATTTATGTCGCTAAAACAATTTCATCCTCTTTTGAAACATGGAAGAAATGTCCAATGTCATATGGCTGCAGTATTATTTGTATTCATATAGCACCACTGGTGTAGAGATATCATCATGTCGTTGTCTCATAAGGCTACCTGTACTCTGTGTGCAATGACAATGAAGTTTAATCTTATCTTATTTCCTTTTGCAAAAAGTGCCTCTCATGTATTGAAATCACAGTACAACTTAATAAAAAAGAAAAGGAGAAATTACATTTTTAAAAACCTGTACAGAGCAGACAGCAGCATGACATGTTTTGCTACTCTAAAATTGAACCTGTTTTCAATATACTTTGTGAACGGACAGTCTGAGCATCAGACATATTCACCCGTAGAGCTCTGTCTGGTCTGTCTGGTCTGTCCAGAGTGATGTCAGCCTGATAGGCATGAGATGCTGACAGAGTGAAGGTCGGATGACAAAGAGTCGGAGACAGACAGAGGGTGATAACATGGTGACAAGGCTGAGGGGAGGCAATAACAAACACGCATTTAGTCCAGTGACAATGCAAATAAGCAAACAAAGTCTTCTGCAAAGGTGGGTGTGCTATTCAAAACAGTGATAAAAAAACCGGTGAGTACACTTTATTTCCTGGTGATGTATGATAATTCTAATCAAAAGAAAGAGGCAGTCAACAATCTCATGTAACTCAGGCCCATCTGACACACCAGGATCATCCAGGTAGCATATTATTAATCTTCCCTTGACTAGTAAATGTGTCTGTGTGTGTTCATTTTCATTATGCCTTGTTTGTAAACACAGCTTCATGTATTCGTTGATGTGGATAAGTGGGGACATTTGCTCTGCATGGGGCCATGAATCAAAATGTGTGCTAATCCCTTCGCTTATGGTAAAACCATTTCTGTATGTGCGAGTTGGTGCACTTGCATCTGCGTGCTTGCAATCTGTATAAATCCGTCTGGTGTATAACGGCCATGACAAAGTGAGTGTCTCCACTCCTTCCCAGTGGAGCTTCCCTCCCATCAGCCAGCTGTCTGGCCTCCCAGCTCATGGCAGCTTAAAACCAGCACTGTTTGCTCTGAAAATATTAAGGAGTGTGCATGGCTTCAGAGGCTGGAGCAGAATAATTCACTTTGTCCCTCATCTCATCCCAATGTGCTGTTTATATTTACATATGATTCAAATTTCTTCATTTTATTGACATTGCTGAGTTCTTGGTGTCTGGCTCTGATTTGGCTTTCGTTTGCCGATGTCATACTTCTTTTAATGCCTGAGCATTAAAAGTAATAATAATATATTGATTACAATGCATATTTTGTCCTTGTATCATTTCATTTTACACACACACGTCAGGCTGCAAAAACAAAATCAATCAGTAGCTTTGTGGTAAACAACTGATCGTTCATTTTTCAAGCAAAATATTTCTCATTTGTGATTTACTTATTTTCTTTGTCATATTTGACTATATATGTCACTTTGGGCTTATGGAAAATAGTTTTTGGCCGTTTTCTGACATTTAATGGACCAAACAATTGTTCCATTATTAGAGAACATAATCTGCTGATTAATCAATAATGTAACAGTCGTTAGTTGCAGCCCTACACGCACCACACTGTTGTGGAATTAAATGGCTGAAATGTGACCCCGAAGCTGTGCAGTTATATGACTCCTCTTCATTTTATCTTTCTCAGACACAAAAAGACACTTTGCTGTTGAACATGTTCGTGGCTGATCGGTAAAGTAACAACTAAAAACTCACAAATATATTCAGCGGATGCAGCACCTCACTTTGACTTTGCCAGAGGTGTTGCACCTTCTGTGAAACACGTATATTAACCTTGCAGCACATGCAGACCACATGCAGACCCACGCATACAATTTATTTATCAGACAGACAGGCACACCCGCTCTTCCCAGCGTCTGCATGCGGAGCTTCACTGCAGCTCGGCAGATTGCGGCAGAGCTGCTTCCGTATGCAGCGTGTTTGGGTGAGCATGGGGGGAGGAGGAGACTTGGAAGTGGGTCAAGGCTTTCAGAAGACGTCCGCAGCACCGAGCTACTCAGCTGTCTTGGCACTCTGCCACTCAATAACTGCCTTTCACTGCACACACCCATCCTGCAAACCCCTGCTGGGGCAAAGTCATACCTGGGGAGGACACACAGGTGCACATAGACGTGTTCGCACACACACACACACACACACACACATAGGGAGGAGTGATCTTTGCGCTCTGAGGTTCAGTTCCTTCGTAGTAAAACCTCTCGGAGCAGAGCTGGGAGTGGCAGCAGAGTATTAACGATATGACTGAATACATTAGTGACTCCAAGATGTAGACGGCAAATTTCTGCCTTCAGGACAAGAATCTTATCTCAGAGGTGGAGGAGACAGGCAGCAAGGCTCAAAACTTCTATGATTATATAAAATCCCACCACCATTTTTTTTCCAGTTAGTGTGTCAATGTGTGTTCGCGCTCACATTTGGGCGTTTTTATGTGACTGTGTTTGTGTGTGCATCGGCACGGACGTGTAAGAGGATTATCAGTGTGAAAGACTCAGAGGGTCTTTGCCCACTCTGTCATGATGCTCCGAAAATCTAGCTGAACAGAAAGCTTAGGAGTCTCTCTCTCTCACACACGCTATGACACCTTACTGCGAAATCGAATAAATATTACAGGCTCTTTAGCAAAGAAATGAATGATGATGTTCAAGGACAGAAAAATAAATGAGTTGGAAAAAAATCTGTAAGAGAGTATGAGAAAAGACTGATGTAAGGACAATAAAGACTAAATACCCAGAGTGTTTGATTGATTTAAGACGCAGTGACCAAGGACATAAAAGTCAAAAGATAAACAAACGGCAGGATGCTCAGACATAAATAACTCCCATGAACAAGTGAGAGGCAGCAGAGCAGATTTCAGAAGCTATGAAAACCAGCTGGATCCCCCTGAGGGTCAGCAAACAACCAATAACAGAGAGGATGAGAACGAGGGAGACGAGTTAGCAAATCTGGAACTGTCCCCCCTACTGCTCAAATCCCTGATGGAATTAGCTGAAAGTGTCTGAGAGAGAAATAAATTCCTTTTTCCAGGTCAAGCGGAGAAAGCCTCTAACCGACTGTGTTTGTGTTTGCTAACATTTGACTCCAGCTGAGTTCTGTCACAATTAATTCACAAGATACTGTGAATCTGAAGGGTTCTGAGATACTTAAGAAGAAATAAGACAAAGAACTGCGGCGCTTTGAGCTGCTAACATGCGACATCACAAAGGCCAATTTTAATATGCTGATGGTTATCAGAAATAATGTTTACAATCTTAGTTTATTATGCTAACAGATTATTTTTCATTTTAGGGGTCATAAGGCAAAAACGTTTGTTTGTGATTCTCAATATGTGGACTTGACACCTTAAAAAAAGTAGTAGTTTAGTGAGTGTGTGTTTGTAGGATCGAAATAATATTTTTTTCAATCATGGCATACCAGATGAATTAACCATACGCTGCATTGTATTAGTCTACTGTAATTCATGTTTATTATTCCCAGTGAGATGGTCTCATTGGACAGTTCCATGATCTAATATGTTTTTGAATGACTGTGCATCCTATTTATCATGCTGCCGGCCTGACCCAGGTCAATACCTAACATGACTAATTTGTCCCAGTTGATGTGAATGAGCTTCATAGTTGAATGAAAACAACATCAGGTCTGAGTGAATGAATGAAATCAAATTCCCCGAGGGACTGAACTGCTGAAGGAGAGGAGTAAATACACTTAACAAATTAGAAAAATGTCTCAATGCATTAACATACTGTATGTCACTACTGAGCATATACATACAAATATATAATATATAGTTATTTCATGTGTTTATGTGCATTTATACTAAAACTAAAACAATTATTCTGCAGCTATTTTGACAATGTATTCATAGTTTCAGTTTATAATGGAAAGTAATCGGCAGATTAATCAACAATACAATGAATTGTTAGTTGTA